ACACTTTGTTGTTAACATATTAATTATAGTGGCAACATATCTTTCTGCTTGGCCGTTTCCCCTAGGAGTACCGGTGGCAATCATGTGATGTTCTATTTGTAATTGTCGAAATAGATCACGTATTAGATTTGAACTGAAATTGGTACCACGATCTGTAATTACTAATGACGGTGTACCAAACAATGTGATAATATCACGAATTATAGGTACCAACTCGGAGGCACTAAGACTTTTGAGTTTAGTTAGTATGCAGAATTTGGTGAACCATCTACTACGAGTAAAATATATTTATAGCCTTCAGGTGATCGTGAAAAAGGGCCAGTGCAATCTAAATGGATAGTATGAAACGGTACAGCAGATTTAATAATAGGGTGTAAAAACCTTCTTTAGGACCTGTATGATTCTTTCTTTCTACACACACTCGACAGTGGTACAAGTATTTTTTTACGAAAGCGGCCATTGATGGAAACCAATAGTTCTCACGTATTTTGTCTACAGTTTTATAGAGACCTACATGGCAGTTTTCGTCATGATACATTCTGAGAATGTCAAATCTGCTGTTCTTTGGGACATATAATTTGGGTTGGGAATCTGGGCTTAATTTGTAATGTAATAAATTATTGATTACGATATATTGATTTTCATCCAAATCACCGGATTCTAATCTTTCAATTAATGATAAGGTTGCTGGGTCATTTTGTTGTGAAATTTCAAGCCATGAACGAGGATCATTTGATACAAGATTTACTGGTAAAGATTTGTAAGCGATTGCTGCCTGGTTTACAATATGGGTGGGGGTCTCAGGAGGATTACGGCTAAAGAAATCTACGTGACTTATGTATTTCCCTTTCTTGTAAATAATTTCAAAATTAAAATCTTGTAGGTATGTCCACCACCGTGCTACACGTGGTGATAAATCCTTTTTATTTACGGTAGACTTAATGGAATTACAGTCAGTGAAAATTTTGAATGTTATTCCTAATGTCTCTAAATCATAAGAACTGTACTTAGATTCAGCTAATGAAGTCCGTTTACTGTAATAAGCAATAACTTTACTATTAGTTTGATCTTTTTGTATTAGAATTGCACCATACCCTAATGAACTAGCATCAGTATATAATTCTGTGGGCAGATTAGGATCATAAATAGATAGTAAGGGTTTTGATACTAAGCATTGTATTACATAATTTCGAGCCGTATCCTGTTCAGATCCCCACTCCCATTTTTGATTGTTCTTTGTCAGTTTCGTTATACAAGCTGTACGAGGAGCAAATTCCGGTATAAATTTTCTAAAGTAACTGGCAAGGCCCATGAATTGTCGTACTTGCTTGACTGTTTTTGGGACAGGAGCATTTACAAGGGCGGATACTTTATCATCGCTAGGTCGAACCCCTTCCTCTGATATGTGTCGGCCTAGATATTGAATATTTTTAACGAAAAATTTACACTTTTTTAAATTCAGAGTAAAACCGGCCTTCGAGAGTGCTGAAACGGTTTGGTCTAGATACGAGAGCCCTTCATCTATTGAGCAAAATGGTATTAATAAATCATCTATGTAAACAAGCAAAAATTTCAAATGTTGCACAGCCCTTGTTATTGCACGTTGGAACACAGATGGGCCATTACAGATTCCAAAAGGCATTTTCAGGAATTCAAAGTGGCCATCCGGTGTAACAAAGGCAGTAAACTTTATCGAGTCTTCGGCTACTGGGACTTGATAGAATCCATTTTTCATGTCAAGCGATATAAAAAATTTAGCTTTGCCTAACCTATCGATTTGATCTTCTATCAACGGCAAGGGATAGCGATCTTTCTCAATGATTTTGTTCAGGGCTCTGTAGTCGACACATAACCGATCATCACCGCCTTTCTTTTTCACTAATAAAACTGGGCTGGCATATGGGGAATGACTTTCGCGGATAATCTGTCTGTCTTGTAAATCTTTTATAATATCGTTTACCTTTTGCCTTTCAATAGGAGCTAATCTATATGGGCGATAATTAACTACTTCGTTCTTTTTTAGCGTTATGCTCAGCTTGCCAGTCTGAACGACACCAATATTTTCAGAAGCAGACAAAACATGTGGATATTTCTTAAATATTTCAATAATCTTAACTTGTAAATTTAAATCTAAATGGTGGATATAATTACTTAAATCGGCAAAAGTGTCCTTCTGACTGTCTCTAACTAAGTTCACTTCTAAAATAGACTGAGGTAAATTTTTATTCCGAGTTACCCTACAACTGTTTGAGTTAATTATAAGTTTTACATCCGGATGATTTAAAACATTCCGCCCTATTAAAAGATCATATTTAAATTCATAATCTCTAACTACTTGTATGTCTAACTCCAAACAAATATCCTCAAACCTAACGGGCACTGTAATAATGGCAAAGATGTGAATCTTGCCATTACCGATACCACCAGCATAAATAGAACAAGGAACCAAAGGGCAATTTAGTCGCTTGGCAATAGATTCCTTTATAATACTACAACTGGCTCCGGTATCAATAATACAATTCAATGATATGTCATGGATAGATACTTTGGTAAATATTATATTAGTATCATTAGGTAAGTCATTAAGGGGCGAGTATAGTCAGATTTTTGAATTAGTGTCACTCAATAGTGGTTTTTGTTTTTCCGTGTTAATTTTTTTAAAGAAGCAAGTTGTTTCGTCATGACCGATTTTTTTGCAAATGGTACATTTTTTTACTACGGGCTCAGCAGAAGGATTTTTTGTATCTTTAATTTTATTCGGACACTGTGGCCTTAAGTGTCCTTTATCACCACAATTAAAACATGTCTTTGTTGACGAAATATCATTTGTATTAATTATGGGCTTAGACCGTTTTAAATCATTGGTATTACGCAAAGTTTCAGGAGTTTGGTCAGCAGGTCGTTTTCGAGTTTTAACATAAGCTGAGAACAAAGCTATCAGTTCCGAGGTGGTTTTGACGCTACTATTGAATGATGCCATTTTTACATTTATGTCTCGTATCCCTCCACAAACTAATTCAATAAGTTGGACTTCAGTGAATACTATTTTGGTGTTTTTCAATAACCTCAATTTTTCCCTAGCGTACTCACAATATGAATCTGCTAAATCTGATGAGTATGTAACGGCTTTATATAATTTTTCCGAAAGGTTCTTTTTTTCTGGGTATAACGAAATTAATTCACTCCGGAAGTTCTCCCAATTACGACCTTCTTGGGGCTCCCAAGTCTCGTACCAAGTCAAAGCAGAGCCCTTCAGGGCCTTACCTGCCTTTGCAACTTTTGCTATCCCGCTCCATCCAAACTCTTCCCCAAGCTTCTCAATGTGGTCACACCATATAGCTGCGCCATTATCTCTGGAGGATGGATCGAACGTCGGCAGCGCTACGTCGTCCTGACGTTTATTGTTGGAAAGAGCATCACGGATGGCAGTGAGCAACCCCTCGAGGATGTGTTTATCCATTTTGTAAACCTGAAAATATTTTAAAAGAGCATTGAGAATCTATCCCACTTCTGATGTTATAATATTTTAGGATATCTTCAAAAATGGAAAGATTACTTACGTTAGATAATGGCAAGACTTTTACCTATAAGCGACACTTCCATAATATGAGTATCAAAATAAAACTAATAATAAAGATGATGTATATTTATTTATGTAAAACAAAATTATTTGGCTTCACACTAATTAAAATCATATTAACTAGTATTTACTTACTTATTATTATATTTTATGTACATTATGTACTAGTTATGTATAGACTAATAATTAATAAAATCTATCCACGTCTAATTAAATACATCTTTATTTATTTTGTATTAATATAACACAGTACATAATACATAATATTACACAATGTACATAATTCAGCTATTTACTAGTTTATTAATATCACATAACACAATACTTAACTTCCAAAAGTGAGTAGGTCCGCACCAGTCAACAGGCTGACATAGAATGGTGCTCTGACCTTGTCAGCCGTACTTATAGCCACAGCCCCACCAATAACAATACGTCACAACACGTGTTCTATGATTGTTCAAACAACTAATATTTTTGTAAATTACTTTTACAATATGTAATTTTATTATAAATCTATAAATACGTTATATAATTAATTACAAGTAAAAATATTTAAATTTTAATCGATCTAATTATTATTATTTTATAACACATGCGTGTAAACAGCCTTTTATACATTTCATATTATTGTTGTGACCGTTAAGTGTGTTACACCTAATACGTAGAATGTGGACTATCCCGCAAGGCTTGAAGGTTTTTTTTTAAGTTGGGAAAATCGTCGAATGACTTCTCCCGCCTGGGTGAGACGGGAGGGAGTGTCAGACTCTCACTGACTAAAAACCACCCCGTCCCTACACCTGCCCTTCGAGCCGGAGCCCCGGCAACAAAAGGCTTGAGGGTATCTTTCTTACTTTCTCCGCGGCTCCGTAATGGTGTATGGGTAAAAGCTTATTTATACGATAATTAGGTGTTACGTGGATTTTAGGTCATTTTGTCGTGTTATACATAGGTACAAAATAAGTATGTCAGTTAAATAGCACACCTAGGCGTTAATTGGTTACCTATCGCTGTGACCTCAACCTCCAATGACCATGGTCGTGTTACAAATTCTTATCGTTATCGTCGTAAATATAAATATTGGTCAGTAGCGTTTAAAGATAATAAGTATAGCACTTTATCAACATGATAACAATTGAAAACAAGGTGGGTTCAGTGGCTAACTTGACAACCAACTGTTGTGCAGCGGTTCGCTGGTTCAATTCCTGTCCGTATAAATTAATTGTACGTATATGTGTTTGTAGTTTATTTGTACCTACGATATGTTGAGGCACATACGACAAAGGAGTAGAAACCAACAGAAAAAAATCGTAGCAAAGGGGTCAAGTCTAAAGAAAAAAATAAAGGAATTATACTTTACCCTTTAATCTAAAAATATATCTTAGTAACTATACACTTATATTACATTAAAACGATAAGGAACTTAATCAAAGATATCGTCGTATGTGAGAAGAGTCCGTTTAGCGTCCTTAGGTGCTGGTGGGTTACGCGGTGAAGGTGACGGAGTCCAACCCGGCGCCTGCGTCGGTGGTCGGCCGCGCGCTATTGAGATACGCCATCCGTCCTCCAAACCGTCCAAGGACGTCAGAGCTTGAGATGCGATCTCCGGTGTTTCAAACGACAGGAATGCTCTGGAACATGAGAAAAGTTTAAATTATTCTTGCCTTATTAATCAAGTGGTTGCAACCAATAGGCGGTTGATCATAAGAGGTTTTGGTTTCGACTCCAGATCAGACCGGGTTTTAGATTTCTTTATTCCAATCCATTCTCCATTTTATTATTATCTATATTCTTCTCGAATCTTTATTTTGATGCTGTACCTACATGGAGTCTTGGCCAGTCTTAATTATTATAAGTAATTACATCCATTAAAACTCGATAACAGGTACATTAGTTTGTAAACCAAAGGTCCCTTCTTAATAAAACTTTTATACTCACTTATCATCATCAGGTTCTTGTGTAAACGAGAAAGGTTCATAAGTGGCCAGCCTTCTTCTGATGGTTTCCTCTGAGATGCGTGCACCTACCACCAGGAGTACTGAACTCCTGCTTCCAGTAGGAGGTGGTGGACCTGGTGTCTCACTGCCAGCGGGCTGAGGAGTGCGAGGTGACTTCTCATCTCGAGGACTGAAATAAAATGTAAAAGATTAATTATTAGATAAGTACACTATCTTATCAAATTGCCGAGGGATGAAAACTGTTTAATTTATATAAAGAAAATAGATGTACTTACATAGGTACAGGCAAAGAAGCATTGTATAAGGTAAGGTTGCAACATATTTGTATTGAGTTGAATATCATAATAATAATTAGCTAGGAAAGTAATGAGTGTCATTATTTTTAGATATTCTAATATGGTTCTTGGTGGAAATATTTTATTTTTATTAAGTAAATAAAACCTTTGTTTCTTTATTGTTACAAAAATAGGTGTATTGCTGACAATAAATAGATTTTTAAGATATACTTACTTCTCTCTGGCAGTCACAAATGAGTCATAAAGATACTTGACACGGGGAGTCTGCTTCTCTTCAGGAGGTGGTGGTTCCTGTGAAGCACTGAATGGTTGGTAGGACGCCACACCTCCCGCAGCACTAGCAGATCCACTCAGCTTCCTCTCCCTGCCTGAAATTGTTCATTAACACCCAGTATTTATATTGTATTCATTAATTACTTTTTGTTATAATACATTTCTAACAATAATCTGATAATTCCGGAGACACAAACAATTTATACGCACTGAACGCACCTGCCCTAGGGCGTTTGAACGTAGCATTCTGTGGCTGTGGTGGCGGACTCTTGATAGCTTGAATAGCTCCACTCTTTATTAGCTTGCGTGCTATTTCTCGAGCATCCCGGGCTTCGGTAGGCCGCTTTGGTAATATGGGCTTTTCAGGTTCTTGTTTAGGCGCTTTTAATGCTTGCAAAGCCTTCTTTTTCTTTTTCAGCTTTTGATATTTAGCTTGTAGCATTAACTCTTCTTCAGTTAAATTAGAAGGGAAATGTAAATAAACCATTTTAATCACAAACAATTATTTTCAATGTAATAAAATGTTGTAACTTGTGAGTTGTTGTGTTCACCAAAATGCCATGCATGACAGCATGACACACACACTGACAGTTGACAGTTTCGATGACATCAATAACATTGACATAGATGATCAGTATTGCTAGTTACAGTTTGTCTATTTGTATGATGACGAATGTTTGAAAAAGTTACTCAATGACAGTACGTTAAATGTCTGTTTGCAAGTGCTGCTGTTGTGACCAACTTTATTTTGGAAAGTGAATAAAACTTAGGAGAAGTTTATTAAAACATGCAAAAAAAGAATTCAACGTTCCAGTATAAAGTGATTTTCAATAAAACAAGAAGCTGTACAATTTTTTTCATATCAAGATTATGTTTTCAATCGAACAGTGCCTATTGAATATGACGGGTAGGAAACGTATTAATGTTTATATTTTCTTTGCCGGAAGTGAAAATAAACGATTTTATGTCTAAAATGAGGATTGTTTTCGAGTTTATTTGGTTGGTACTAACGACCTGTGGCGCCCTCGTTGATTTTCTTTAATAAATAAATAGGGCTAGTTATTACATTGTTAAGTCAATCAAACACTCAATTAAGGTTTTTCTAATCACATTTCAAAACAATGATGACTACTAAATTCTGAACAAGTGAAGTAGAAAAGGCTTCAAGTGTTGCCATGCTATGCAAACAATTTACACAATCTCATGCTCTGTTTATGTCATGTGTTGTTTTGTGACAAGAAATGGTATTATTCAACTCATATGACATTTGTCTTGTCAGTTGTCAGACTTGTCAATAGAAAGTTATAAAATCGATCTAAAAATTGCAAAATGATTCGTTTATCTAAAAATATAATACCTGCGGTAACGAAAACGTTATTAAAAAGAACTAATCAATCTCAAAATCCAAGTATATTAGTTTTTTTCCATGGACAAAGGTTACTTTCAGATACAAGTAAGTAAACAAAACAAAAAGTTTCCGACAATCTTATAGGAATTTTGCACTCAGCACTTGATCGAAATATTTATTATATGTGGGTAATAGATCTTTTTGTTTATAAATCCCTCGCAATAAACCGTATTAGTAAAATAATATAATTTCATAACAATAAAAACAATTACACTAATACCGACAATCATATTGGTCTCCATTATACCGAAACGGTCGCGTGGTGTCATAATTGTTATGCACATACAAGTGACCAATAAGATAAAAATACGTAAACACTGTTGTAATGACAATTTAAATGTACTAATTTAATTCAAGGATTTTTGTAACCTCTGTATTGTATTGTTATTACAGCTGCATCAGGCGGCAAGTTTGCTGTTCAACATGAAGATTTTGGGCGACCGTTATATTTTGATGCTCAAGCCACAACACCAATTGTAAGTTACTATAACAATTAACTCAATAGGAACAATTTCGACGAAGTCATTGATATGTAATAAAAATGCTTTTTTAAGGATCCAAGAGTGCTTGACGCCATGTTACCATATCTTGTGAGTTATCATGGTAATCCACACTCCAGGACTCACGCTTATGGGTGGGAGAGTGAGGCAGCAGTTGAGAAAGCCAGAGAACAAGTGGCAGATTTAATTGGAGCTGATCCAAAAGAAATAATATTCACTTCAGGAGCAACAGAGTCAAATAACATATCAGTAAAAGGAGTGGCCAGGTTCTATGGATCCCGGAAGAAGCATGTTGTTACCACACAAATTGTAAGTATTGGTGTTACTTCTAGTAACTGCCAGAACTCTGGTATTCTAGTAAAATCTACTAGCCAATATTAAAAATTATCATATTATGAATTTCAGGAACATAAGTGTGTGTTGGACTCATGCAGAGCTTTAGAAGGAGAAGGATTCAAAATCACATATTTGCCAGTTAAGGAAAATGGAATCATAGACATGAAAGAATTGGAAAAAGCTCTCACACCAGAAACTAGTTTGGTTTCCATTATGACGGTTAACAATGAAATAGGTAAAAGCAGTATTTTATCTCTAGATATTTGACCAGTTTATTATTGTATGAAATTAGTTTTGGCCTAAGCTTTAATATGATACAGAATACTAAAAATGTTAATTGTATGTAAAATACAATTGTGTATTTATTTAGTGTAGTTTTAATATTGGATTCAGTCTTAAATTTTTACATATCTCAGTATCAATCAATATGCTTCAGCAATATGTTTCTTTTTAAATCACACAAGCAATAAAATTAAGTCATATTTTGTGAATGTGTTTTGTTTCAGGTGTTATGCAACCTATTGCTGAAATAGGTGCATTGTGTAAAAGCAAAAAGGTTTATTTTCATACGGATGCAGCCCAAGCATTAGGAAAAGTTCCCATTGATGTCAATAAAATGAACATTGATTTGATGTCCATATCTGGGCACAAGGTATATGGACCAAAGGGTGTTGGCGCATTGTACATACGGCGGAGGCCTAGAGTGCGAGTTGAGCCTATTCAAAGTGGAGGTGGACAAGAGAGAGGAATGCGCAGTGGTACAGTTCCAACCCCACTTGTTGTAGGACTCGGTAATACATAAAGTATAACTAAATATAGTTGATACAATGTCTAATATAAATTCTTTCACTAATCCAAATAACCTTTTGTATTATAGGTGCAGCATGTGATATAGCAAAGCAAGAAATGGCATATGATCATGCATGGATGGAAAAGTTGTCGCAGAGGTTCTTGGACAAGATCTATTCAAAACTAACTCATGTCATTAGGAATGGAGATGCAGAAAAGACATACCCTGGCTGTATCAATTTGTCGTTTGCTTACGTAGAAGGTAATATAGATAAGATTATTTATATTGGTTCTACTGTAGTGGCAATTAAAAAGTAATAAAATAGTGTTATCAGTATTGTTTATAAATGTATGTACATTGGATAACGTCAACTGTTCATGTTGTTTTCACTTTTAGGTGAATCGTTGCTAATGGCTCTAAAGGATATTGCATTATCGAGTGGCTCTGCTTGTACCTCGGCTTCGCTAGAACCATCATACGTATTGCGCGCAATTGGAACAGATGAAGATTTGGCACACAGTTCTATTAGGTAATCACCACCAATTTTTATTTTTTTATATGACCTTTTATTCTTTTAATAATATTATTGAGAAGTTTTAATCTTCAAAATTCTGTATTGTGCATAATGTGTGCATTGTATGTGCCCCAAATAAAGCAAAATTCAACAAAATTATGGACTACCCACTAAATTATTCAATAAATTCAACAGACAATTCAATAAATTTGGAGAAGTAAAAATAAAACTTTTTACAGATTTGGATTCGGAAGATTTACAACAGTAGAAGAAGTAGATTACACAGCTGAAAAAACAATCAAACATGTAGAACGCCTAAGAGAAATGAGCCCACTGTGGGAGATGGTGCAAGAGGGAGTAGACATCAAAACTATTCAATGGTCACAGCATTAAAACATCATTGAGTATTTGTATTAAAGTTTCTATTCCGTGATTAGATTTAGGTGATATTGTGACAGGAAGTAAGGAAAAGATCTGGTGATTATAATGAAATGTTGGATAATTTTATGTGTGGAATGTAAATGTTTAAGTGACCGTCTTGGTAAGAAATGGATCAATGTTGCAATCCTAATATTATATTCTTAGCCTGTTGTATTAAATATTATTTTACATTAACATAGAATACGTAAGTATATCACAAACAACTTTGTTTCTTTGACCTCAATAAACAGTAATAAAATTAAGTAAAAAAAGTTAGATATTGTGTTATCACTTGTTTTTATGATCCTGTAATTAGTTATGTATAAGACCATTTAATAATATGAATTAAGAATTTTGCAACTACATTGCAATAAGTAATAATACTTTTTGACCTTGACTTTCAAAACAAGTTTACTGATTGCACAATATCATAAAAATAATACTAATGGAGGTGTGATATGCTGATAAAGAACAAGTTTCCTTCGCTGTTCCATCTTAAATATTGCATGAGTCTAAAATGTATAAAAGAAAATATGATATTATTATGTTATAAATGCACATTATACACTAATAAAAACAGTTTAGATTTTATGAAGTCAATGTTTAATTCCAATATAGTTAGTGTTATACATAGAAAAACTGCTTATTTTTGTTAAATGTTAATAAAGTACATTAAAAAGTCAGATTTTATGATTATTTTCTAGTCTTGATACAAATTGAATAGGCCAAAATAAGTATAATTATTTGATCTTTCAATTATGGTTGAAGTCAGTGGAAACATAACACTAGTACACTTACTCAAAATAAACACATAGATACATACAAATTTTAAATTTTTGAAATTATTCACCTGGCTCGGAATGATCAACCTAATACTGTTAGGCCATTTCACTTTAATACTGTAGTGTAATTCATAAATATACAACAATACAAATATTAGCTAAGTTAATCACCTTAATACAGTGTAAGAATTGTACAAACAATTAGATGATTCCTACATTAAATACAAATTATAATAATTGTCAGCAATAGAGATTCTATAACAAAAACTTCACTCTAAACCTAATCCTATAAACACATATTTAAAGCATAATTTCCAAATTCTATTATGCAAATAACTATAATACACTTTTAACACAAATTAAATTAATTAAAGCAACAAATTAAATGATTCAACAACTACATGATGGCTCATCTACTGGGTCAGGATTTGATATCTTGAAACTGTTGTGGTCCAAGGTTTGTAGTTCAATTCTTGATCTATTAGACTCTACAAGTTGCATTGCGATATCTGTGAACATTTCTTCGATGCCTGTTCCATTTTTACATGAAGTTTTATAAGTGGTGCTGATGAGATTGTGGCACTGTTCACTACAATAAAAAACAATGGTATTGTTTATGTACACAAACAAATTATAATAGAATCCAAGACTCAAGTTACCTACCAAAAAGTTTCAATGTCAGCATCAGTAACTTGTGGAGAAGAACCTTCCAAATCTGATTTATTTCCACATAGGAATATTTTAGCATTTTCTGCGTAAGTCACGATGTCTAATAAATGTTGGCTCAGAACATGAAATGAGGATGCATTGTCAAGTGAAAACACAAGAATTGCTGCCTCAGCAAACTTGTAGTAGCTTGAGGTGACTGAAGCAATTCTTTCCATACCTCCAGTATCCCAAAGTTGTAACTGAAAATAAATTACCATTTATGAATTATGACTACATAAACAATAACAAAGAATATAAAAACAAAGAATTATTAAGATTACCTACTATAACAAATATAAACAACTTTAATTAGGTACCTTTACAGTTTTGTCTGTGAGTTGATATGGCTTTTCAAAGTGATCCAATCCTAAAGTAGAACGTCTATCCGAGTTAGGAACAAATGTATTGTTAATAAATCGACGAAAAATCGAACTTTTTCCGACACCATATTCACCACACAATATAACTTTCAGCACAGGGGTTTTAACCATAGCCATTTTTGAATTATTACACAAAGAAAATAATTCTTCAAGGCCAGAGGTATCTAAATCCTAGATCTCGCTGCGTTTTATCAAGCAGAACTAATTAATTAATTCATTTATAATACACAGCTGCACAATACTCCGCTCACACCCATTTTGGTTGACATAACATTAGTAGAGGTGAGACAAAATTATGTTTGGTAGGTAGATATCGATAGTTCAAACCTACCATTTACAGAATTACAGATAGGTATAATAAAAAGTTATACTTATATATTAACCCGATTAAGGTAGCTGTTTTCAGTTCTGGAAATAACGGTGCTATGAATACAGGAACATATGTTTGTACATATTATAATTACTAAACGTGATTCGTTGGTGTATAAATAATGATGTGAAAATACTTCATTCATACATTACACATTATCTAAATGTATTGTATTGTTACATAATGTATGTGTTCATAAAATTTATTTGTAAACAGTAAACATAACTTTATTAAAAGTTTTGAATCGAATATTGTAAGAGCACCTCTAAAATGATATCAAGTTCTCAATTTTGTAGGTACCTATCGTACCGGTTGTGTATATCGGTCCAATCTAAAGCAAGAAGCCTTATAAAAGTAATAAAACCGATTTTGTTAATTATAATTAAATTAATTCACTCGACAACGATCACTATTAATGTAGATAAACTCCAAAAAATGCATTAATGGCTTCTTGTTCCAAGAACAGGTAGCCAGAAGTACTTCTTCTTGCAAAAAATTTGGCTATGTGACAATATGCCTAGTCCCATGTAAGTCGGAATAGGAGGCGACTGTTATAATATAGATACGCTACGTTACCTAGGTACCATATTTTATAAAATATTGTGCCCGATTCGATACGTACCTCTCATTGCATAAAATAGCGCCCTACTGTCTTATTTTAGGTGCATCTCGTATAGCTTGATGATCTATCTGTACATTGGTGATAGCCGCTAGCCTTTCAGTATATTGAAATCGACTGTTTGACAAAATAAGATAGGTAATATGCTAAATGTTTATTTGAGTCTTAGCAGGATACTCAGTTTTCGGTGACCTGACTCACGTTACTGTGATCTTTAACCAACAAGCCTCTTACCAATCGCGGGTATTGCGGTAAATAGTTATTTTATAATGAATTTATCTATCTACCTGGGTTAAATGGTATTCGATTCGAATGGTTTTTGATTTATTCAACATATTACCCCTAATTTTTGTCACTAACATGTTGCCATATTAACTTCTCTCCTATCAAGATCAACTAATGTTTTACTGAAATTTTAAAGTAATGGATGTGTTAGCATTAAATAAATATTTAATGTATCCTTTTTTGATTAAATTCTATTTTGTATTCCATTAGTAAAAGGTTCTCCAGTGGTATCAGTTAAATTATATTGGCAACACGCATTCATATGTCATTTTAGAGATTTAGATGTCATGTAAACGCATCCTCTATTGTTGTATTTATTTATTGTTGAAATAGTAGAATTGCTGAATAACTATTTATAATACCTATTTAAAATCGTGATGGTTGCGGAGTTTAAATGAACTTGAAGCTTATAAACGATAAGTTATTAAGTTTTTATTTTATAATTTGTCCATTATGGATCTTCAAACTTCTCATTTGGCCGCGGCGTTGATGTCGGGTCCAGCGTATAATAACACGTCGGCTGAAGCTATAGCGACGGTAACTGCCCCACCAAGTAATCCGAATGAAGAAGTTAAAAATGAGAAACCCAATGAACCACCGAAAGACCCGCCAGAAGAAGATAAAGAAGAACTAGCAAGTGGAGAGGAGTACTCTGATGAAGTAAGTACCTGTTGTAATTGTTATACCCTGCCTCTAAGGATACTTTTTTATTATTGAATTCATAAGATAAATGGCCGAAAACTTTCAAATACTGTTTTCAATAATTTCAGGAAATGGAAGCACAATCAGGCAGTAAGTCAATGCCTGGTAGAGGAGTTACTTTACAAATGCTGCTAGAAGAGAAAATGCTTGAGCCAGGCACTGCAGCTATGACTATAGAATATCTAGTAAGTATGCTAAAGGCATCCATTAATCTAACTAATTTTTGAGACAAAGGAAATTTTACTAATATTAAATTAGTAATTAATAAATTCAAATAAGTGTAAACTATTATCAGTTTCTTAATTAAATCTGCTTCTTTAAATCATTATTGGAATTTTTACTTATTAGATATTGGTTCTTATTAAATTTCAGGGACAAAAATTTGTTGGAGATCTGCAGCCGGATGGTAAGATAAAGTCTCATGAGACTGAAACCATATTCTGTTCACCATCAGCTTGGGCAATACACTGCAAGCGCATAATAAACCCAGACAAAAGGTCTGGCTGTGGCTGGGCATCGGTCAAATATAGAGGAAAGAAATTAGATACAATTAAAGCCACATATTTACGCAAGAAACAGCTGCAAAGAGAGAATATGCACACTGATGGTAAGGTTTATTGTAAAGTAGAATAAGAAAATTTTGCTAAGTAGAAATAGTATAAATATTTTTGAATTCTTGTCATAAAAATGTTTGTACCCTTGTTTTAGTTAAAAGTTATTTCATTTTTGTGACATTGATTAGATGGCCTTTGTCTTCTGGCTAATAATATATTTGAATTGCTTGATTACTTATAAAATATTTGTGTTGCAGAGGAAGTAGAAATGGAAGTGGAAAACCCTCCTGAACCCCCACCACAGAGGGTTGTAATGAAACATAACACTGTGCCAAACAGAATGATGCAACAGTTAGTATTCAATGTCTTTCTTTATTAGCTTAAGCATTAAATATACCTACATAATTTTACTAGCCTTTTTAGTGGTTGGTATTACATCTGTAAGTACAATAACTTAAAAGGTCCCATCCAGAGATTAATCTCTACATGGGTCAGAGTCACTCCATTAACTAATACTTAGCTTGAATAAGAATCAATCTTAGGTATCAGTAACTCTTCTCTAACTTGTTATAGAATTAACCCGTTGAAATTCATCCCCTAAATTTGTTCATACAAAAGTAGTCTTTAAGCATTCGAAATAAGGTCTATAATATAGGTAGTGGAGAGCGGTCACCAGTGACCGCTTGGGATTCTATGGGTTAATGGTATTTTTAAAAGTAAATAATAACGAGTTTAATTTTAAATTTCAGTGATGCCAACATGTTGATAGAAGCAGTATCATTTTCATCAGCCGGGAAAGTCCAGCCTTTCTTGGTGTCAGTCAGTTCGAATGCTAGTCTTGTGCTGGACATCCACTGCCATTTGAAGAAAGAGGAAGTCTATGGATACTTAGCTGGCACTTGGGATTTAAATAATCATAGTAAGTACTTTTTTTTTTTCATTTCTGTCTCCCATTGGAGAATGGAGAATTAAGATTCTGCATGGGAATGTCTTAGCAAGACAATGCTTAAATAGCAGGATTTTGATATTTTTATCTTTATTATTTCACCAATGGGGATGATGGCAGGGTATGAAAATTAAAAATATAATTAGTCCGTAAGTTAGGTAATGAAGAAATATTAGACACGTATTTTTTTATTTTGTCGTATAATAAAACAATACTTAGATAAAACGAATCAAAGTTTAGGAGTGGGGGCTAAAACGTCATTCCTTAGTATAAAATGTACTGAGAAGTGACGTCACGCGACATTTCAAATCAATATATCTTCGAAACTATTCGTTTCTGTGAGAAAATAAAAAATACGTGTCTAATGTTTTTAAATAATCTATCAGACGGACATTAAAATAAAAATTAGTCGTCTACCCCATTACTTTATTATCTCAGAATAAAGTCCTTCTAAAATGAAAATATAGCTAATACATAGACATGATGCTACCTTTTTATTTTATATTTATTGGTTACATAACATAACATCATGTCTTTTATCCTTGAAGGGGTAGGCTGTGGTGCATAGTAAGGCACATAATGCCACTGTAAAATGTAACACCAACTTTTTACTATTTATGTTATGAGTACACTGTAATAGGGGGTGAGCCTATTGCCATTTACTGGGCACATTTCCAGGCACCATGCTACTACTGAGAAGTTTTTTAAAAACTCAGTAATACTTTGCCCAGGTTTCTAACTCGAGACCCCTTACCTGACAGTTGCACTTGCGACCATTCAGCTAACGAGGCAGTATATTTATTGAGTTTTATTAATTTACACCTTGTGTTTTCAGATGTCATGATAACACACACATTTCCGTGTTTAATTAGTAAGAACGACAGCCGACCTCGCGTTTTAGTGGAACTCGAGATTCAGATGGAAATAGAGAAGTTGGGTCTAACACTACTGGGGTGGTACCACTCTCACCCAACTAACCCTGCTATGCCAAGTTTGAGGGATTGTGACAATCAACTAGAATATCAAATCAAAATGCGTGGACCAAGTGAAATATCGTACATTCCGTGTATTGGAGTCATTTGCTGTAAGTATAATACTATGTATTGCATATTTTTTTTAATTTGATTGTTAATTGTTAACTCATTTTTGTTTGTCTTTTTCAGCTCCATATAACCCCGAAAGCCCAGTTTTGGAATCGTCGCTTACGTTCTTCTGGGTGATGCCTCCACCAGAACAAAGGCCTACCGAGTACCCTCGGCCTCTCCTCCTTCAATACAACATGGTGCACGACAGTCATCTATCACCACATGCCATGGAACAAATTAGGAAGAGTATCAAGTACTATTTTACATTCTCTGATGATACGTTCGTTAATTTTAAAGACAATTTTAAACCTGATATCACATACTTGGACAAATTGAAATGCACCTTAACTGCAAAGTTTCCAAGAGAACAAAGTGATGGTCTGTTGTGGCATTTCATACGCGACGAGTTAGGTTGCTCTTCTGAAAATGATGATAAAATGGACCTTGACGCGTTATTGGCGGTTCCTCAACCTATACCAGTGTCCAAGCCAAGTCAGATAACATCTGTCCCCAATTTCCCATCTGTGAGTACGTTACAGCAGATGGTGAGTCGGCCGGCAGGGGTCCCACCTATTAATGTATCATCAGCCATAGGCTCAGGATCTCCTCATAAGTTTGAAACGCCTCAACTGAACATTCCAGTACTCCCAACATCGTCTAAATCATCCTCGAAGTCCGCGACGCCAACACTCCCGTCACCATATCCTACAGGATTGGATATGTTGACGAGCATGGCTCTAGGATTAGGTTCTCCCAATATGCCCCTACCTATGGGCGCATCTAGTCTGGAGAGTTTAGCTGCTGCTAACAGCATGCTGACTGGTCTCACTCCAGGCATGTCCTCAAGTCTAGCAGCTAGTTTATCAGGTAGCAAACTTCCAGATCCCCCATCCTACGCTGCATCTTTGCAGAATTTAACCAGCAGTATTGGAAGTTATGACAAAACACCGAGCAGCACATCAACGAGTACCACCGCTACGGGCACTATCCCCGCTAGTCTTGCTTCCAACCTCATGATGAGTTCTGCCGATATTGCTAATGCGTTATTCTCAGCCAGCAAATATTCCAGTGCTGGAATTCTTGGGATTCCAGATCCAATGTCTAAATCGACGTTAGCTGCAAATAATATGTTTTTGTCACCATCGTTGATGAAAATGCAGGAATCTCTTCTGAAACCACTTTCGACGAGTAGTCCGATATCCACAAAGGCTGGTTTAGATCAAAGCATGTTGATGAAATCTCCCCACGATTTATTGAAAGGCAATAAAGATTATTTGCCGCCTGATTTTGGTAGCATTGGAAAAGGGAAATCGGATTCATTGGAAGGTATGAAGTTGAATGAAACTGCTACTTCTTCCAAAATGGAAACGGCTAAATCTGATAGTATGGAAGCTCAGGCCACTGACTTTAGTATGCCTTCACGGGTCGGCGGGGAATCGTTTTTGAATCAGATGTTAGAATTAACGAAAAAGACTACAATGCCTGATTATTTATCGGATTACAATCAACCTCTAAAGTTAACTAAGCCAGAAGATTTATCCACTTCTGTGCCATCTAGTCATCACCCCTATATGAGTTCTGCAAGTATCGTAGATACTATAGCGCAGGTCGCCATGGGAAACTTTTCAAAACATGACGAACCAAAGGACTACGCGAAAGAGACGGATTATAGTACCAATAAGGTCGGCAGTAATGACAACGAAAATCTATAAACTTCTACTTAATAATCAAGTTTTTGCGGATTATAGTGCAGCTAATGCATAAACCGATTTTAATGTATGTTCACTCGATAACATCTAAATATTTTCCACATCTCAAAATGTATCTCTATAGATCTCTCTATGAATTTTAAGAAATGTTTATTACTTTACTAACATCAGATTTTTAAGAGCAAGTGTCTGTATACATTCAAGCTATTTCTCAAAACTAATTTTCATCCATTTTTAAATCTGATAGTAACTTTAGAAGCGTTTATATTTAATTGTGATGTAAACATAATTTGTTCCAAACAAAGTGAATCGCATCATCGAATATTAACCCCGTTTCTCTGCCATAGTTTGGTTCGGATTATAGCTAATCAGTCTGTAAGTATTATTGTGTATAATCTTTGTACTCGAATTCGTGTCGTTTGTGTTTAAGTATAAATGCTAGAGTGTATTAATAGATTAGATTCTCCTTATTTTTAATATTTTATACGTATCATATACAATATTTATTTTACATTAAGATTAAGATAATAAACTCTTGATTGTGACGTAACTGTTATTGTTTCCTTTGACTCCTAGCAAAAGTACAAATATTATTGAAATCGTTGATTTCCTTATCACTACTTTAGTTTTCCAATTAATTGTTTGTGGGTTCTTGTAAATCTCAAGTGGCGGTACTTTAGGTACATAATACATTTATGTTATACATAGATAGAGCATTCGTTGAAGTGGCATTTGGCTAAGTGGAAAAACGAGACACTGCTTCAGTTGCCACCTAGTGGTGGATAAAAGTGACAGCGTGGCTTTTTAGCCCAACATTCAAAATTATTGTGTTGAAATATGGATGACCTCACATAGTCGTCATTGGTAAATAATGTAGAGGATGCGATCGTTTAATGTGATAATAATTAAAATCAAAGCACGATTGATTTATACGATATTTGATAATGTACCTAATCAGCCAAGATATCGGTATGACGGGCCTCAAGATATGAGGATTATGTTAAAACGGGCTGGTACCGAACTAGTGTTTTACCATATCCTCATTTGCTTCGTTAGGTTTCCGGTGACAACACGAATTCACAATTATTGTTTATTTAAAAAAAAACAAGTGTCGTTGTTCCAAAAGTGATACAGTGAGTGTGATTAGTGAAAATATGACTTTGCTAAATTAAGGTAAGATTAGTCTCAAAACAATACGTATTTTCCTATAGACAGATGTGATTAAATTATATTTAAGTAACTCATTTCATAAACAAATAAATAAATTAATATGTTTGTAGATATAAAGTATACCTGCCTAACAGAAGCTGTACAAATCAGAATAGTAAAATATTTTTGCAGAAATATCTCGAATGGCGAGACCAAGAACTTTAAGGGCTCTAGATGAGGAGAGTGATGACAATTCGGAGTTGACTCCGTTACATGACGATAATGATGACTTAGGGTATGTAATTTTAATTTTTCAGAAACTAAAACGAAATCATAAAATTAAGTGTAGGCCATTTTGACCAGTGTATGAAAATGTATTTATTTTCTTATTTGATGTCATATGAACCCTCTAGAAACCGCCTAGGTTCACTATACCATGTGCCTATTGCGGTTGAAAAGATATTAAAAACTTTGATGACGTATTCTTTCCAAATGTTGACGCCATTACCGACGCCGCTAACCACATTATTAGCACTCGAAATAAAGTGGTTCCGAGTGATGTCTAGTCGATTTCTACAAAATCATAATCCACCATTAAATCCCTAATAAATGGATTATATACGGATTCAACAATTTCAAATATTGATTGATATACGTATTTATGTGGTATTAATGATGTAATTTTCCTTGAAGATAGGTACACAAATCTAGATTAGGCAGTATAGGTACTTATTGTCATATAGACACAAAAATATAATAAAGTTAAACGATTTCTACAGAGAAAGAACAGCTCAAGAGGCAAAAGGATGGAATCTGTTCCGAGAAATTCCTATAAAGAAGGAGAGTGGGTCTATGGCCTCCACTGCCTGGATAGACTTCAGTGTAAAGATCCTCAAAGTTCTGGCGTATATTCTTATATTCTGCATAGTGCTCGGATCTGCAGTTGTGTCTAAGGGCACTCTGCTTTTCATCACATCACAACTGAAAAAGGGCAAAGCAATCACTCATTGTAATAGGCAGTTAGGTAAGTCGGTATCACTTAAGATTTTCCTCAATTTTATTGGTCGTTCAGACTCCAAATAAATTCGTAATTATCCCCAGAACTGGACAAACAGTTTATAACAATCCACTCGTTGGAAGAGCGTGTGACATGGCTGTGGGCAGCCTTCATAGCATTCAGTATTCCAGAAGTTGGCGTTTTCTTGAGATCAGCCAGAATATGCTTCTTCAAAACAGCACCGAAGCCTACGTTTTTGCAATTTTTGACGGTAAGTTCACCTACAAGTGATTGCATGGTGTCCTGACGTCTTCCAATTTTCGTATAAGTATTTTAAAAATAGTATGCAGATACGGAAGATACCTATAACATATGTAATGTGAGGTGATTCCCCGTGTTAGACAAAATTACTAGCAATCTTTACAACATGATTAGAATGGATTAGTAGGATTGTAGACAATCACAACTGTTTTATTTTACTCATTCTAGTTATCAGTGCAATTTTAGGAATGTCACATTTTTTAGATAGGTAAACAAGGCTACCTGTTATCTGCCTATATTTATTTCAATCACTCGAAACATAAAGACTAATTTTTCATCAATTAAAAATAAGATTAGAACAGGTTTCTTCGCATGACACTATACTGATACATTAGTGCAGTGGTTTCTAGCGTGACTGCTGAGCCATGGGTCTTAAGTTTGATCACCTGTCCCGAAAGGTGTTATTGGACTAGGACTAAAATGAATATCTGCAGAAAAAGAATGTAATATACAGAATGATTATTATACCTATAATATATAAGTTCTGTTTTACTATACCTTCGACGGAATACCTAAACCACAAAACGCTTTAAAACAGTAAAATTGTTTCAGGCCTTCATAGTAGACACCCTTCATACAGTAGGCATTGCATTACTGGTGCTCTTCATTCTACCAGAACTAGACGTAGTTAAAGGAACAATGCTGATGAATGCAATGTGCTTCTTGCCTGGAGTACTCAATGCTGTGACAAGAGACCGCACGGATTCTCGATATATGCTGAAAATGGCATTAGATGTCCTGGCCATCTCTGCACAAGCTACTGCGTTCGTCGTCTGGCCTCTACTAAAAGGTGTTGGTGTTCTCTGGACGATTCCTGTCGCATGTATCTTCATCTCACTTGGCTGGTGGGAAAATTTCGCCGGTGATATCGGAAAACAATGGCCAGGTAATAAGCGTTTTGGTTTTTACATTGAAGAGACAATCGATTTTTGACTCGGTGTCGATTTGACGGTCCAAAGTATTATTGAAAAAAAGTACACCTATATAGGCTCTGTAAAATAATGGAACTCAGAATTGTGTGTGGTAGATAGTGCTACACCTCGTACACGAGTCTGTTAGACTCGAATTATTCGAATATTTAACAAAAATCCTTAAACCTTTGTTTAGCCAAAATTAATTTACATCATGTTATGCAAAACTACTTACTTTATTCTAAAAAGTATCATTTTAAACAGTAGGCAGTTAGATAGGTATCTAATTAGACACTTGATCTTACGTTCGATAACTTTAATCACCGAAGGGAGCCACTTAACTACCTCCAATTATCAGTCAATGCCTACGTATTTAAATCAAGTAGTAAACATAAGCCGGAACAATTAAAGTAAATCTCTTTGTTCTTGAAATTAATTCAATGCATTAAATCATTTCATTGAACTTTGGTTTGTAGATTGTAGTGTAGTACACATATAGGTAGATAAGTTGGATTTACAAACAATATAACTAAATAAAAACTTGTATAACGTGAAAACGTGTATCTATTTATCTTTGTGAGTAAGTGGTATATGCACTTTTTCACTTAAGTATATTCAACATCGTAGCAATGATGACACAATGTCTGGAGTAGTTTTATATATGGGACATCCTCTTAGCTCACTAGAGCCCAAATCAAGCTATCCAACACCTATCCTTCATAATTATGAAGGATAAATCAAGCTCTCCAACACCTATCCATTATGAGTGTTATAGGTTCCTAATTATAATATTATAATTATTCCTTCATAATTATGAAGGATAGGTGTTGGATAGCTTGATTTGGATAGCTGGATTTGATTTGAAATGAATTATAATTTTTTTTATCGATTCATTTTAACAAAATGTCCACTATAACAGGGTCCTATCATTTCTGAACTAAGTTTTATCACAATTGGTTCATTACTTGTTAACAGTCCTGGAACCTGTGCAAGAACTTCGTGACAATTTAAAGAAGACTCGTTACTATACGCAGAGAGTGTTGTCATTATGGAAGATATTCATATTCATGTGCTGCATTCTAATATCCATGGCTGCACAAGAAGACAGCCCTCTCTCTTTCTTCACGGAATTTAGCACTGGCTTTGGTGATCGCTTCTACACGGTTCATGAGGTAAGGCATACATAAAATGTACATCAGTACATATTAATACTAAGACTGATTTAGAAAAATATGGTACCTAAATAAATTAATGAAGGAGCTACTCTAGTATAGATGTTTTAAGTAAGACACTTTTGTCTTACATCATTTTCCTGATAATAAATGTCTCTTAGATGGATCGTGTCAGCTCCCTTAAAATACTACCAAAAAGATTACAACATCAATCCTACTGTATGTAAACCACGATGTCTTCTATTAAATAGTTTTTTAACTCGTTTGTTCCGCCAGGTCCGAGCGATACAGGATGAATTTGATGGTTTTCTCGGATACAAAATTATGGACTTACACTTTGATAAAATGCCAGTGGCATGGTCCACCCCACTATGGGTGGTACTTATCCAAGTCGTGGCTTCTTACGTCTGTTTTATGGGAAGTTTGGGTGCCTGCAAGATCCTAATACAAAAC